TATTCTCACATCTGACCTTATCAAAAAAGAGCATCCAGAAGACGTCGCTCGATACATTTCAGTTAGCTCTGAATTCAAAGATTTGATCAGTAAGACAAGTCTTAACAGAAACGTGCTGATCGCTACACATGAAGAAGGAATTCTCGATTCGTTTGGAAGATGGAATATGGCATTCGATGAAATTGAAAGTAATATCAAATCAGGCGAAGAAGGAGATGATCTTATTGAAAGCGAAGAAGACGATGCTGAAGAAGAAGATTTGGAAGACAATGATGAATAAACTCTCTACGATTCATAAAAGATGTTGAAAAAATGGGCAAATTTACTCAAAGCAGATACCGAAGCAGTGATTATGATGGTAGTAGGAAATCCCAATATTCTCATAGAGAACCCTATCATCAAACAAGAAGAGAAGAAACAAGACCACGTTATCGTGGTGAGGAGGATGATCAATATTATCGTTCAAAATCTTATCAAAATAATGAATCCTCATCGTCTTACTATTTTGATAAATCATCATCAAACAGATCGTATCATAACTCAAATTATAGAGGCTCATCATCAAGGACGAGAACAAATTCCTATAAAGAAGAACGCACATATCGACAAGAGGACACAACAAGAAGAAACCACAAACGATTGAATGAGAAACCCGAAGAAGAACAAAGAGAAAGCAGCAAAACCACTACTTCTCCAGCACAAGATATAGAATATGAGGTTACTCTTTCCGATGAGGAGGAAATCGCAAAACTGGGTAGCACTACTAATATGCAAGAGAAAACAAAGGACAAGTCCAATTCATCGGACTCACCTACCTCAAGCAACAATGAGGAAATAATATTTGATTTTAGAAATTCAAAACGAGTGATTGCAATGATACAAAAACTATGTATTGAGAAAAAACTCACAAAAGAGAACAATGACTTTAGAAGTATTTTGAAAGAAAAATTAATTTCAACCATACTCTCTCAAACTAGAGAATTTTTGGAAGACAACACAGATGAAAAATTTATTAGAAACTTTGAGCAATACATGACAAGGCGAATGATTTATCGAACTACCAACCACGCCATTCAGTTTTTTGTGAAAAAAACAGAGGTACAAAAGAAAAAGACCAAGGATGAAACATTCTTTGAATTTTTGGAGCAATTAGTTCTTCATTTTGAGTGGGATTCTAATGGATTACATGGTGTGTTGCTAGAACCAGTTCAATGTTTGTTTTTTACAAATGAAGGACAGAAGAGCTATGATTTTGAATCAGCCTTCATGGTTATTTATACAAAAAAACCCAATGAAAAAAAGTCAGGCTTTAATTTCAGATTTTTGATGTGCCGCATTGAGGATGGAACTCTAAGTTTTCCAGGTGGAAAAAAGTTGTACAAGTCTGAGTCTTTTGATGACTGCATAAGCAGAGAATTGAACGAAGAGCTCTATGGAGTTAATGTGCATGCTGCATCGTCCATTAAACGAGGTCCACTATGTTGGATGGCCAACAATGCAATTTATGCTCACGAGATTCAATGGAAGGAGGCAATGAAAATCCAACAAAAGATTGAAAGCAATTACAACAAACTGAAAAAAGATGGAGCGATCATGGAATATTCAATTAATCGCGTGTTTGACTCGAGCATTCTTGAATCACCCACTCTAGATTTGGATAAGGTATTGGAGCAAATTAAGAAATTCAAGTATGCAGAGGAAATTGTTGCATTTAAATGGATGAATGACGACGCAGTTAGTCAGATGGATGGAAATCGAAGTTATTTCTTGAAGCAAGTCTGTCGATTATTTAAAACCAATATTGAAAAACAACTCGCCGAGGCAGAAATGAAACGTGCACAAAAAAAGCCAATAACCAAGAAGGAGAAGATGAAGAAAAAGCAACACAAAAAGAAAAAGAAATGAAAATTGGAGGTTGGGCCAAACATTTTGTATTCATTTGAATTTTACATTTTATTACAGTAGATCAAAATTCATGTCACAAAAATCTGACATGTTACTAAATTGATCAGTCGATACCACAGGTGATGCAACACTGGTGGTTCCAAACAAATTCATATTCTCAACTTGTGGTTCTATTGGTATTTGAAACAACGCTGCTGCTTGATTCGCATTGGTCAACAATCCTTGAAGAAACACTTGCTCGAGCGCTTTCATGATTTGAGCTTGTTGATCCACCGTAGAGTTGGCAAGCACCGAAAAAGGATTTACAAAGAGAGAGGTTGGAGAGCATGTATCTGAGGAAGAGGAGCTTTCTGTGCTGCTACTGCTGTTCTTGTGAGGATTATTGATTGAAGATGATTGTATTTGAGGAGAGGAAGAGGTAGAAGGAGGAAGGGATGTTGAAAGTCGTTCAGTAGTTGGTTCTTCTCTTTTCACTTTCTTGGTTGTGTTCGCACACGATTTGTTTGCTGTCGATTTTTGAGTTCTCTTCTTACTTGATTTTCGTTGTGGCTGTTTTGAGGAGTGTGGGTTCACTTCCAAAACAAAATAATTCTCTGAAAAGTGATTGCATTGTCTCAATTGCTTTCTCAGCTGAGTGTATCGTCCACTAATCTTGCCAGTCACTTGATGAGAGGGATCAATATGATTATGTTCATCGAGCAATGGATCCGATGATTGACTGTCTAATGCATGGATGAGGTTGGTTGGAGAGGATGCATTCGTGTTGGAATGATTATCCTCTAGTTGATTGTTGTGATCGAACACGTTCATGGCAGGCTCAACGCTCAAAGATGGAATTGTTGTTGTGATGGTGGATGACATTACTGATATTTTATTTTAAGATTTTTACTTCATATGCTCCACCTTAAAAGTCATTGGGACTTTCCTTGTGCGCTTAAGGTGGCATAAAATTTTCTAAATTTGTTCCTCACAAAAAATTGACTCATTTAGAAGCGGAGCAGATTTAGAGTAGTATTCACCCGATGCGATAAAGTGAATATTCACGGTTGAGCCAATTTGTGGAATGGTACCAATGACATTGTACAAGAATATATCATCTCTAGCTTAAACATTATTACTTTCTCAGCGAAATCCAATTACGAGTTTTCAAGAACTTGAAAAAGGTCTTTTAATGGCAATATCAACAAGGTTTGAAATATTTCCTCCATCATGGCTGACTATGAGACAGTCTCCATATTTACACTTTAAAGGTTCTCATCTGAAAATTGTCATCTCTGTTGAATATTATATTTTTTAAATAGGAAAGACCATCGACAAGTGAGTAGTGAATATTTAAAAAGGTTTCTCAGGCCATGCCCATCCAATAATTGAATAAACAATATCAAAGACTACAGCAAAGAGGAAATAGGCAGCTACAATTCCCACCGTTGCATAAATAAATAACTTGGGGAGAGGTACAGAAATAACATGATGACTATATCGTGCTCGGCATGAAATTAAGAGAATGAGTGAAATGAAAAAACCACTTTCCAAATTGAGTGCCATCGAGGTAAACACTTCCATCACTGTTAAAAAACTTCTCGGATTAATTTGTGCCATCACATAGGTCGGTAAAAACGTGGCACCATATAATACAATTTTCAAGAGCAAGGACATGCGTGAGGGTTTGTGTTTAAGGAAGGTCATTTTGGAGTAGAGAAATTCAGAGAAACGTGAGGCCACACTTCCAACTCTCTGTTGTGCCATCTCAAATGTTTTCACATATCCATCCAGCATGTGTTTGGCTCCGGCAGACATGGTACAAAAACTCACAGTAATGCTCAGTGAGATGAAGAATTGTACAAAATATCCCAACCAAACGTATTGAGGATATTTGAGTTTGATAATTTCAATGATTGGAACGGTGGAAATTTCTCCCTTTTCTTTGGATTTGTGGAGAGATGGATAATTCTTGTCTGTGCTGGAAGATTCTTGTGGTACAATTCGCAACACAAAGAGACACCACAGTACATTAATGACAAAACATACAAAGAGACCTAAAATGGCGCTCCATCGAAAGATTTGAATTTTTAGTGCCTTCACTCGAATTCTCATTCTTTGAATTTGGAAAGTGATGACAATTATTGATTATATTGTGTATGGGAAATACAATTGTACACTTACTCTTCGGTAGTTTCATCTTCATCTTCATTAACGACAGCAGGTGGTTGACTTTGACGTACAATTTTCGAATATCTAAAAGTGTGTCACATAAACATTCATACATGCCAGCGACAGTACAATTACTTACACTAAAGGAATGAAGGTTATAAAAATTTCTAGAAATTCGTTCATGAAACTTACTCACAGGCAAAGTGTTCATCACACCACCCAAACTCACTGTTCCAATTAAGAAAGGATGTCCAATGTATTGAAAATTATCTGTAAAATTCAATTTCGTTTGTTGACTAATAAATCCAACCAAACCAACCATTATTAACAGTAAAGCTCCCTTAAAGATGGTTGCTGCTGAAATAATGTGAGATAAAAATCGTTCGAGTAACAACACAAATATGGTTAAAATTAAAACAAAACCTGGAATAAAATATGGATAATAATCCTTAATATTAAATAATGAAGCTATTGCAATTGGTCCAGCAATAGAGTAGCTAATTAAAATTGAGATGAAGTGAATGATCACGGAAAAATCGAATAAAATTTGAAGTACTCTGTTCAAAAACAATCTTCCAATTGCTGTTATTGTAACATGTGAACAAATATTATGAAAAAGTGAGCTTGACAATAAATTCTACATACTGTGCAAATCAGGTTCAAACACAATGGGTTCCTTGTTTTCTTCTTTCACTGGAACACTAGTCGTTCCAACTTGTTCTATTGTTTCAATAGGTTCTTCCTCTTCTTGATCATTGCTGTTCGTATGAGTAATGTCCTCGACGTCTTGCTCACTGGTTTTTTCTTGCATGATATTTTCTTCTTCCAAAGATTCTTTTTTACCATGTTCCTCCTTCATAATTAATTCTGTTTTTTGAAGTATTTCTGTCAAGTATAATATAATCATTGCTTGCATGATGAAACAAATAATAAAGGTGGAAAAGAATGGCCAAAATCCAGTTTGATACAATTTAACTGGCAATCCCAAAATTCCTGTTCCTAATATTGTTGCAATTGAAACAAAGAAGGTTAATATTCCAATTGTCCATATGGATAACTTGTCTTTGAGTGAGAGTGGTTCATTGCTTCGCTTTTTTGCAACTTGTTGCTCGATGAAATCATGAAAGGCTTCTTCACTCATTCCTAGATCTTTATCATGACTACCGACAGGAGCATCATCATGATCATCACCAACCAGTGGATGAGTTTGACCTGAGGAATTGTCTGCAGGTGTTGATGAAGAAAGGTGTGTGATTTCCTCTTCTTCGGGATCGGAGAGAGTCTCTTGATGGTTGTTGTTCGATTGCATTTTTTGATTAATAATTTAAAAAAAATCTTTTAAATTGTGCTTCTTGTAACTATCCTATGGCTATCCTTCTGCTGTTAATTTCGTTAATATTAAAGATCTCAAGCCTCAATGCTGTAATGGTGCTGTATATTTCTAATTTTATCGTCTTTTTGATTTATTTATTGGTGCCAGAGAGTTCTCTACTTTGACGTAAGGCACTTTTCAGTTTACTGACCGTAGAGGATGGTCTAGATGGCAGTGTTGACGTCGTGGTGGATGGAATGGAGGGTGTGATGGATCGAGAAGGAGGTTTCTTTTCTTTTGTGGCTGTTCTCGTCGAGGAGGTAATTGGTGGTGGCTGTAAAGGTTTGAGTGGAGTTGATTTCATCCTTTCTGGAGGTGGCGTAGATATTCTAGCTTTTTCTTGAAGCTTATTTTCAAGAGCTTTTAAATCCAAAATACTTGGTACCTTAAATTCCTGCAATGATTTGTTATAAGAAAATTCCTCATCAATTAATTCTCGAATATACTCAATGTCTTCTTGCAGTATTTCCTTTTCAAAATTAAATGCTTCCCTTATTTTACATAACACTTCCTCAATGGAAAGAAAGTTTAACTTCTTTTCTACTTCACTCAGCTCCAGTCCTGCAGAAAACCCCGAAGATGAGCTAGTATTGCTTGAATGTGAGGATTGGAGAGAAGATGGACGTGGCGTTTCAGGTCTACTAGGGGGCCTAGATTCATTTAGAATAAACGATACTGAGAGGAGCCTTAGTATGGGATTGATTGATCATCTTACTTACACACTTGTTTTTCTTTATCAGATTCTATAAACATGTCATGTTGCTGAAATCAATGCTTGTGTCAAATCAGAAATGTTCAATGAGCTAGTGTTGAAACAAACCTTTTTCAACATTTCTGTAAGAGTTTGAATATTGAGCTTCACTTTTTTGAAAACCGTGTCTCCTTGAAAGGACATTCTTTCCCATTCGACTTGTTTTTCACTTTTAATCGTTTCACCTCTGTAATCATATAAAATCTCTATCAAGCTTTGTAATTCGCAATGTAACTCCTAATTAATTATTATTGATTTTTAAAGATCCCATAGACGCATCACAATCAACATACTTCATTTTCCGAAATTATTTTCTCCCCGATTTGTCTCCGAATTGCATCTCTTTCTATTTCTTTAATACATCCACAAAATTGTGTCCAGAGCAGGTCTTTGGTTGCTAACATCCTCACTTCCGGTACTCTTCCAATAAATTTGTCGTACCAAATCATTTCTTGTTTTTTAAAATCCGATCCCAAACTTGATGTTGGACCCTCGTCATATCTACTCATTGTTGTTGGAGAATGTTTGCCGTTTGTTGCAAAACAAATTTTTTTTAGTTCTAAAAAAACGTAATGGCACACGATAGCATTCGGCGGCAACTTTTGTGTCTTTGATACATAAAAAAATATGAAACCATCTCGTTCCCTCAATACATCATCTTCATCGGGCTTGTCATCATTGGCATCATCGACCGATTCCTTGGAAACCCCGTCTTCGTCAACAAGTTCCAAACATGCTCATCATAATTTGAGCTCAATCAGTGAAAATGTTGGTAGGTTTTAGAATTTCTTCAGCGGTTGTATGAATGTTGTATTCCTTAAAGGCTTGTCCTACACTGTATCTAAAAACAAGTTTTTAACGAACGATTCCGAAGTGTTTTGTTTAAAATTTAATCCAGATTCTAAATATTTGGCTGCAGGGTGTAGTGATGGGTTAGTGAGAGTGTTCTCAGTTTCCGATGGTAAAAATTTGTACAGTCTTAACACGGCACAGAAACAACAATTATCTCTTCCAGTGACATCTATTAAATTCAAGCCACACTATGGTTATGGTTCATCACAGAATATTCTCCTGGTATCAGGATCTAAGGGAGTTGTGCAACATTGGCACGTGACATCTGAAAAACTACTAAATGAGATTGTTGAGGAAGACAATCAAGTATACGTTGTAGATTATAGGAAGGATGGCTCTTATTTTGCAACAGCAGGAAAAGACTCCACTGTTCGGCTCTATGATGAAGAGACTAATGTCTGTGTGACTCAAATGAGAGGAGGAAATGGTGTCACCACCGCTGGACATACCAATAGAATATTTTCTCTAAAGTTTCATCCCAATGATGACAACATACTCATTACTGGAGGTTGGGACAATACGTAAGTGTCCAAATTGTTTTCAAATTTAATATGACCTTATAATTCTTCTAGTGTTCAAATTTGGGATAAAAGAATGGATTATGCAGCACGAAGAATTTTTGGGCCTCACATATGTGGAGATGCTATTGATGTTGATGTAAATGACAATTTGCTCACAGGATCCTGGAGGTCAGAGGAACAACTACAACTGTGGGACTTTGGATCTGGGAAATTGATTGAGGTAAGTGTGACTAATATTCATGAAATTACTAATTTTCCAAAATTGCAATAGAATGTCAATATTCCACATTCAGGTGGTCAACATACATTGAATGCATATTGTGCACAATTTGGTGACAGCTCAGGTTCACTCATAGGTGTTGGTGGCTCTGGAACAAACGAAGCTCTCATACTGGCCAGAGGATCTGGCAAGGTGGTCGGAGCAATTAGAGAGCTCGAAAGAGCAGTATTTTGCATGTCGTTCTCTTCAAGTCAAAATCATTGTGCTGTGGGGACAGGATCTGGATCCATTTTCCTTCTGCATAAATAATAAAATCCAACAAGGTGTACATAATTGTTTACATGTAGTCGCTAAATAATTACACGGCCACTTGCATCATCAGATATCTTTTTCTCTACAAGTGTATTTCGGACTAGAAGTGTCAGAAATTAGTAATAAGTTTGTTATCATCATTGCATTCACAAAAGGTTTGTTGTTCGAGGATTAACAGTGCCATGTCTTCCTCGCAAGCCACTTTCAAGCGGATGCTGCTGCGAATTGTGGTTTTGGCATTTTTTAATAATTTATTAAACAAGTCTCCACAATCCATGCTTATGAATATCTTGAAAGAATAATCCTTCATCACCTAAATATCACCTAAATATGAGTGATACATATTGTATGTTGAATACTTGTATCTCGTTGGCAGTTGAGCCTTTCAACATCATCATTCAAAAAAATGAACAAACGAACTCTCGCTTTCGAAATTCTTTCGGACCAGTTTGGTGATGTGATTGGAAAGGTCGGAAGCGTGCTGATGCAATACGGACCACAAACCATGGCCGAATTAATTCAAGCAACATCCATGCAATTTCCACATATTCGGAATGCTTTACTCGTACTAATTCAGCACAACATGTGTATTTATTATGACAAGAATATTCATTTACAAAACTTGGAACAAGGAAAGCAACGAGAAGCCTCGGAAGAGGATGACATGAAAACTCAAACAGAAAAACAACGAGAACAAGAAGAAAGAAGAGAGAGATGGAAACACAAAGGAGGAGGTGGAAATGATATCGGAGTAGCTCCAACTGCTGCAACTGAAGAACAAGAACCCGAGTCCATACGAAACGAAAAACAAAAACTATTTGAAAAGCAAAGCAAAATTATTTATTATCAAATCGTTATTGATAACATTATTGTGAGATTGAAGAGTGCCAAATTCTTGGATATTGTAAAGACAAAATATGGAGGTGATGGAGAAGAATTGTTACACACCTTGTTACAACATGGAAGACTCACCATGAAAGATTTAATCCAAAAATCATTGGAATCCATCGCCTCTCATCACAATGGTAAGTGCAATTTTGAAATTCTAACTTGTTGATTAACAGTCAACTTTTAAGACTTGATGTTCTCTAGTGAGAGTAAAAGGACTACATTTCTCACAACGTTCCAAAAGATGGTAAAAGATAGATATATCAAACGAGTACAGCCCTATATGTCTTCTGTGCAAATTGAAGAACAAAAAAAGAAATCAAAAGAAAATACCAACTCGACTAGTGGTATATTCAACAAAATTGCCAAACACAAAGACAAGGAAAAAAAGAAGAAAACAGAGAAAAAAGGAAGCAGCAAAAAGCGAAAGACTCTTGTTGATGACGATGAAGAGGAACCAGCTTCAACTATGGAACCTGAGAAAAAGAAGAAAAAGCAAACAACAGAATCAACCCTTGAATTTGATGTAGAAGATGATCTAGCGGATTCAACAACAGCAGAGGAGGATAGTGGTTCTTACATTGACGCTGAAAATATACTTTGGACAACAAACTATGCTCAATTTATTAGAACTTTTAGAAACGAATCCATTTTACAATATGTTGAATCTAAACTAGGAGAGCAATTTTCTTCAATTGTTGCAGCGGCATTTGAAGAAACTGCACCATATCAGCGAACAAAGAATGACCCAATGTCAACACCTATAAAGTTTGAAAGGTTATATGAAAGAATACAGGAGACAGAGGAGATTGGAAGAAAAGTTCTTGAAAACAATTTGACCTTTTTATATAATCCTGAACTCGATATTATGAGACAAATGGGAAAAGACACTTACGTCATCAATCTAAAAGGAATTTCAGACAAGATTAAGCGACAAGAAACAGAAGTAATAATTACGCAAAAATTTAGTGTGATTGGTTGTCGTTTATTTAGATTGCTAATCGAAAGGAAGTTTTTAGAGCAACGACACATTGCTGAAGTTGCACTTCTTCCTTCTCATGAGGCTAGAACACTCTTATTTAATATGCTCAGAGGAGGAATGTTACATCTCCAAGAAATTCCAAAGAATAAGGAACACGCACCAGAACAGACATTTTTCTTGTGGAGTGTTAAGTTAGATGAAGTGTTTGAGAAGATAATTGATGACATGTACAAAACTGTGCGAAACTTGAGAATGAGGTTAAAGCATGAGCAACAACACATTATTGAATCTGGTATTCTAGAAAGCGCCTATTTGAGCGAAGAACAAGAAAATCAAATTAAGAGCTTGAAAAACATTGAAGACAGACTGGAAGCATCGCTCATTAAGCTTGTTGACCTGATTACCGTTTTTGAAGACTTTTAAATGAACGACTAGAGAAAATTTCACACAATCATGACCTTTATTCTTCAATTTCTCATTTTGGAGCTCATACTTGGTACTGGAGGCAATGGCTTTGTAGCAGGTCCGTGCAAAACGCTGCCATCCATTGCGGAAAATCTTGAGCCATGACAACTGCAATCAAACGTTTGCTCTGCTGCATTCCAATCCAAGTGACAACCCAAGTGACTGCATGATGGAGAGAACAAGTGAAATTCTCCATTCTTGTCTTTGTAGGCGGCCACTGTCTCCATGCCATGCTTACAAATACCTCCCTCATCATTCACTAAATCTTCAATGTCCTTGGCCTTAATGACATCTCTAAATCTAGTTGCCACAAAATGCTTCGAGACATGAGCTTGAAATTTCATCATGCTAACAGTCGAATGTGCAAGATCCCATCTTCTTGCATCAAATGTCTTGGCCCATGCTGCAGTTTCACCTGCCTTATTGCCACAAATCATATCACTGACAATCATGGCAGCACCAGCTGATGTTGTGAAACCCCACTTTTTAAATCCTGTTGCAGTATACAATGTATTAATTCCATGATGCAAATGGCCAATATATGGAATATAATCGGCAGTGACATAATCAAGACCAGACCAACAACAAATGACGTCCTTCACTTTGAAATACCTCTTTCCAAAATCAATCAAATTCTTGTAGAGATCTTCGCTGTTTCCAGTTGGTGGAAACTCTCCAGTTTTGTGTGAATTCCCAGAGATGACTAGTATTTTTCCTTTACAGCACCTACGAATCGATTTTCCTCCAAATTCATCATACATGCCTTTGGTAATGTAATGTCCCAATGGTGCTTCAACTCCATCTTGCATTTCAAAGGCCACACAATACGAAGAAGTTGGAGTGACCACTCCCCAATGTCCACTTCTGTTCAATATTGGCAAATGAGTGGCAATCACTACTTGTTGTGCTAGTACATTTCCTTCATCGGTTTGAACCGTATGTGGCTGTGAATAGTCCACATCTTGCACACGAGAATCTTCATAAATGTAAGCTCCATTCTTTTCCAAAGCCTTTACAATTCCAATACAATAGTCATACGAATTGAAGATTCCTTGATTTGGTAAACATATGGCTCCCTTATTGGCGAATGGAATTTCATTCGAAATGGATTGAGGAGTGGCTATAAAAGTTTCCAAACCAGCTCTCTTAAGGGATGCCATTTCTTCCTTAATATCATCCAACTCATCGGCATCTAGAGCAATGGTATACGAATGAGAATCTTCCCATTCACAATCAATATCATACGACGAGATGATTCTTTTAATTTCATTCAAACCTGCTAAATTCATTCGACCATAATGGATGGACACTTCAGGACCGAACTTGTTTTCAATGGTACTATATGCTATATTGTGAAGACACGTGACTTTGGCTGTGGTATGGCTAGAGACACCACTGGCAATTTTATCGGCTTCAACCACGGCCACACTCTTTCCATGTTCTTGTAATTTCAATGCTGTTTGTAAGCCAAAGACACCTCCACCAACGACACAGACGTCAACCTCAGGGCCTGTCCAACAGTTGAAAACAATATTCCATGGAATCAATATTAATAATAATACAATTCAATCATTCATTGGAACAAGAATTGTATTTGGATGTATTCAATCATTCATTAGAACAGAAGAAGTACGTACCATTTCCAGTGAGTTTTGGATAGGAAGGAATTTTGTTCCGAACATGATTGGTTTTTTTCCAAATCGATCCAATGGGAAGTCGCATGATCAGAAATGATGATGTTGTTGTTACAAGATTTGTGGTTACTGTGTGAAATATTGTCACAATACGTTTAACAATATTTTTCTTGATGTGGTGAAGAGTCAGTGAGAAAAATTATATTAAGGGGTGGTGTTTTCACTGAATATAATTTTGGAGAATAGACAGAGTTGGGTGGATATAACAGTGAATGCTTGTACTTTCAGGAAATGATACTAATTTGGAAAAGATGCTACTCGTTTTTTCACTTGTTTCAGCTCTATTCAGCAATGTTGACAAGACCACTTCATAGCCCTAGGGTTTAAGGAATCGAATTTATGTCTACCCAGCCGAATCATATGATTCGGCTGTATTACTTTCATTCGAGTTGATTTACAGCCAAAATGCATTTTACTCAAATTTGATTAGCTGCGAAAGTATCCAGAGTAGTAGCAGCAACGAATCCATGTCAACATGGATGATCGTCGGATCATTGCACGGTTGACACTGTTCACTGCACGGTGGCATACAGTGGAATGATGTGAGATTTCATCTTCTAGCTAACATACTTGAAAAGACATGTTTATTCCAACGGCTGACGATGCAGAGTCTGAAGAATGAACTTTAAAAAAATAGAAGACTTCTTTGTTGTGCTTTTCTTGAAATATTTAATTCTTCACTGACTCAACATGAAAGCCATTCACCAAAAGGAAAAAGAGTCCACAGCATTGAATCGTTCCAAACTTCTCTCCATCATTCCCAGAGAGTTATTTAAACCCAATGTGAAAAAGTATGTCCTGGACATGATTCTCTCCTCTCTCACGTCCCAACTCATGATTCTTGGAGCATGTAAGATTCTTTCACTGACAGAGAGTTCAATTTCTCCATATTGGGTCTACTCGGCTGGTCTTGTCATGTGCATACTCGCTGCATTTCCTACCTATAAGAGTTGTCTCTTCATTCATGAAGCAGTTCATCAAATACCAAACATGCCTTTCATTGCATGGTTCTACAATTTGGTCAATGGTTTTGTGAATCGAATGCCCTTCTATGCATATACTCCTCATTTGCGACATCACATGCCAGAAAATTATGGAACACTCCAAGATCCAGAATATGATTATCTGGCTTCGTATTCAGTGGCATTCAATTTTGTGGTTGCTCCTATCGTGAGTTCATTTGCGAGTGCTGTTTTTGTATTCATTCGATTTGGTTTGATTCCTTTTCTGTTGCCTTTCGTTGGCTCCTCTGCACGAAATTTCATTTTCAGATTTGCAAGTACATTGGTCATGAATCCCAAATACGATCGAGGATTACCAATGAATCAAACAGAACGTTGGAATTGGTACTCTCAAGATTTTGGATGTGCCGTTTGGACATGTCTCTTGATGATGGCATTGCATTGGAATTGGATTGGTGTGAATTACTTGTTGGTGAATTTTATGGTCACATTCTGTACCTTTTTGGTGAATTATTACAGAGCGATCATGGCACATCGATATTTTGCAGATGGTCGTTGCACATTCACTCGAAAGCAAATGATTCTCGACTCGGTGAATTATGAGAATGATAGTTTTTGGAGTGAAATGTTTTTTCCATTTTCGTTGAATTATCACGGATTGCATCATGTGTTTCCAAATATTCCTTATCATTCGTTGAAAAAGGTTCATTCCATTATTATGGAATATATTGAGAAACAGGATCCAAATCATCCTTACAAGTATACAGTTGTGAAAAGTTATTGGAATGCTGTTGCGTTGCAAGCCAATGGAGAAATGTAAATGATGCTTGATAAATAGGTTGTGAGGATCGTTATTGTTGTCAAATGAACAATCCATTCTTCGAGAATTCAGGTCATAAAACTTGATTCATCTCTGTCAAATGATTCCAAATTAATTTAATAATCGATTTCTTCGTTCTTCATCGCTGTCATCAGCCGAGTCAGTAAACTCTTCTTCCTCATCGTCATCAAAGACGTGAGCCAAAGATGATGATGTTACTTTTGTAGATGTTGTTGGTGGCAACTCTGCATCCAAATCAGCCAAGTACTTGGATCGACTGAATACTTGACCAATACCTCTTCCAAAATATTCACACACCAGTGAATAACCATCAAACTTCTTACTATTCAGTTGTTTGAAAAATGATTCGTGTTGATCACTGGACTCTTCGAATTTTCTCTTTCTTTGCAGAATTTCTCTGTGTTTATCGGCACACACTCGACATTCGCCCTCATTACCAACCAATAGACACCGTTGGTGATAGGAATGGTTGCACATGAAATGAACTGCAGGTAAATCAAGTTGGGCATTACAGAAGGTACATGTCGTGGCTTGGAACGTTTTGGCACTTGTTTGTAAATCATGAATTTCCTTTCTCATTTGAGCTGTTTCTGATTGAAAGTCTTTAATTTTCTCTACATCTTCTCTGATCATTTCTTGTTCTTTTTGTATTTTTGAGATGAGATAATCTTTGATGGTATAGAGTTTTGTCTTTTCATTCTTTCCAAGAATTTGAACGACCAATAAAGGAGGAAGAATTTCCTCTTTTTCAATCTTTTCCAAAACTGTGGCAATTTCTTGCTCTACATCATCCTCCAATGTTGCAAAATAAGTTAAAACTTGAACCCAAAGGTTTGGATCCTTATCTCCATATTGATTACATGCTGTGATCACATTCTTATAGTCACGTTGTTCCATATAGTATTGAATAATATAATAATGAAGTCCCAAACTGTCGTACATTTTAAGAACTCCTTCTTTAAAGTTTTGTGATTGAACCAACACTAATACATGTTCCTTGTCATAATTCGATTGTGGATGATCCAGTGTATAGAGTAAACGATCTTTGAAAGACAAATTTGTAATGTCGGTACTTGGTGAGTGAATTTCATATCTGTCAACAACTCCTGGAGTGATTTCTAGCTCTGGTCTCTTTTTAGCATCTGCATCAAGATATTTGAGATAAAGTTCAATTAATGTATTGTACACGACCTTGGAATGTGAAACATCAGGTCGTAAAGTTCTCCAAATAACATTCTCCAAAAATATCATCAACCAATACTGATCTTTGCTTGAGAAACAGTGAATATACTTCTCAGGTTTGGGCTTTTCAAAAGTTTCATTCACATTATTGTACAGGTCATCAAATCTTGTGGTTTGAGCAATTTGAGATTCAAGATTGCCTGATGATGTCTGTTTGAGACTTCCAAGAAGAATATTCATGATACCTTCTTTCTTCTTCTCAGGTTCTTTGGTTGCTTCATTTGTACGTTGAGCTACTCGTTGTTTGTGACTTTCCATAATTCTCTTTTGGGTGGTTCTAATGTCACTATCAAGAACTCTATTCGTTTCAGCAGGGTGAATAGGGAAGTAGTCCGTACATAATCTTATAAGCACGTTTGTTGTTTCTTTAGGGAGATGTGAAATCAAGGTTTTGCCATACGTTTTCAAGTATTGCTCTGCTTCAGTCAATGAAAGAGATTCTATATATTTAAGAGCTCTTCTAAAGTTTTCTTTCAAATCCATTCTCTCTGCACCATCGTTTGCAGAGTAATCAGTGTCATCAAAATCCTCAAGATGGATTTTAATATACCAATCGTGTTGTTTGTGCTTCATAGCCAATATCAGAGCATGTTCTTTGTAACCTGCTTTTCTACAAACTCTAATTGCCGTTTCCACATCGTACATGAGCTTATCTTGCATGCTAATAAACTTGTCAAGCTTTTCCTTTCGTTCATCTTTGAGTTTTGTGTAACAATTGAGTAAAAGTGTGGTGTGATCTGATGTGGCTTGTCGTTTTTCGTGCAGAGCTTCGAGGTATTCTGTCAAATTACGAATTCTATTCGCATCAAGAAACTTTCTAATGACATACGAAGGTTCTAATCTTCCAATGGTGCGACAAAATTGTTTCATTGCGCCATCATAGTCTTTCTTAGAATATAAGTGATCACCGTACTGTTTTGATATTTCAGGAATATAATTTGAGTCAAGTTGCTCGCTATTCACCAAGCTAATGGCAATAGAGTAGAAATTCTTTCTCAAAAGCAACTCAAGTTTGGATTGAGTATCCTTTTCTTCGAGAAGATACATTTGTTGTTGTGACTTGTTTTCATCAATATTGGACAATAGGAAAACATTTCCCCACTCTTGTAGTATGTGAGTGATATGCAACTTGTCACTAGAATATCTAAAGGCAATATACTTGTTTTTGAGATCATAAATGGTGATCACTTGTTGAGCCTTGTTGGAGTTGTTGTTAATTTCACTGCTGACTATAATGAGATAATTTCTAAACCATTGTGCCAAAATCTTTTTGCCTTCGAACGCAAAACATGCTCCTTTACCTTCTGGCTTGTAAAACCATACTGCAGATTTCGAAGCAACCACAAAGTCACCATCAATGCTCATTGTGCTGCATCCAACTTCACATCCAGTGGTATCGTCAAGAATTGTCTTTGATTGTTCAAGTGCTCGTTGTGATGTACTACTGCTCGTGTTAATGGAATATTTGAAGACTTGAGTGACAGAGCAACAAAACAAAGTGTAGTCATTCGGAGAGCTACCATATCTTCTAAATCCCAATCCTGTGATTCTTTCGGAAGAAACGCCGTCCAAATAAAATACCTTGTGTGATGACTTTCCTCCAATCTTTGTAAAGTCACCTTCGAATATAACAATTTTACCATTTCCAAGACCGAGAGCAATACAATTAAAATCTTGATTGGTTTCAAAGCAACAAACTGGGTATGGCTCTATTTCCTTGATCTGACCAAATATCTTGATATCCCGAACCAATAAATATTGTCCAATACTCATATGTGCTGATTCTCCTTTCGTATATTCCTTGTATTTATCCAAAGAATATATTTTCAAAACATCCTGATAAGCCTCTCCTCCATCATCACCAACCACAATCAAACAATTTGATTTTGGCACATGTTTGATGTGATTGATCCGGACTTCAAACGCTTTGCACTGTCTAGTATTTAAATTTTTATCCATCACGTGGAAATAACCCCGATTATCTCCAAAGATGATTTTACTGGCACCACTCGTGCAACACGTAACATTGACTGATGCGAAGAATTTTGTTGATTTTTCATCACTCACAGTGTGCTTATCAAAGAAGTTGAATTTTTTCATTTTTTTTTAATAATTTGAAAGATTTTATCAAAGAACAGATGAAGTCCCTACGTCTCACTTCTGAAATAACCATTTCGATGCCTTTGTACACGTTAGTAACGACTTGTCGTTTTGTGAGGCTCATTTCACAGGGTAATTGTTGAGCCTTTCAAAAAAATCAACCATCTTCATCATCGGCCATTTCATCCTTACACTCGGACATCATTGTTGTTGAAAATTGTGTCATCATTGTATATTATACATCATGAGTGCCGAGTTTTTACTCCTTCTCAACGATCTCACTGCTTTTTATTCAAAAATCATTCTCCGCAATGACTATGCTTTGACCTATCTCGATAATAATTATCATTCGTTGGTGTTTGTAGGTGGAATACTCTTTGTGATATGGACGTTCCTTGTCGTCATTCCCATCTATGGAGTAATTTGGTTATTGGATGTTCGGAATTGTTATCGGTTGATCCGTAAAGATGATTATTCTCAACAACCCAATCTCTCCAATTTGGAAGAAGAAGAAACCCTTGATGAAGAAGAATACTCTACCAGTAACCACCATATTCATCGTTTGGAATTGAGAAGAAAATTATATCAGAGTCAAAATCAAGGCTTGTGTCGGAAGTTTTTCAACGGTTGTGCGAGTCTGGCTCTATTCGTTGCGTGTGTGTTGATCACGTACATGCTCGTCATGAATTCAACCTTTAGTCGAGTTCATTATCTATGGGTTGGAGTGATTGCTACTGGTTTCTTTATGGCTTGGATTCTGAGTGTCCATGTCGTGGATTGGAAATGGATCTTGGTCTTGATGTATTTCAGACTATTCAAGAATGAGGACTTGTCAAATTTCTCAGCCTTATCCACTCGTGTGGAGTTGAATGATACAGATGCACAACAGGATGAAACACTGTTACGCTCTTCCACACAAGATGACACAATGAATGTGAGACCAACGCTTAAAAAGAGAAATTCTTTGGGTAAGAGCAAATTGGTATTACTGTGTTTGGATATTGTGAGTCCAAGAGTTGCTGCCAGACCAAAGATGACAACCGTGATTGTGATTGCTTGTGTGGCCATCTTTTTCTTGATTTCGACCTTAGTGTCGTATTTTTGTTATCATATTTGCATTGCGTATGATCCGGTTGAAGTTTCAACATTATTCTCAAGGACGGTTCTATCCAAGAGAACTTGTGAATATGATGAGATTTGTTATACTTATTTGACTGTCCCTGAAAAGATGAGTTCAGAAATGATTGTGAATTTTCAAGTTTCGACCAGCCATTTCTATAAGGGATTTGTAGAACTTGGCAAGTTTGACCCAGAAGAAGAACTGAACATTGCAAGTTCTGTCACATTTGACAAGAATAAGCAAGCAAGCTGTTTTTTAATGGAAAATATTTTCGAAGAATCCAGATACCAATGTTATGCTGAATTAACCGAGCTAGAATCTGGCTCGTCGTACATTGTTAGAGCAGGTTATTCACAATTCCAAAACGATGATAGTGGAGTACATTATGGCTCAATTGTGAAATTTAGAACCACTCCCTCAGAAGAGGATGACGATGCTTTGGAAAACATTGCTTTCATCAACGGTGGAGACTTGGCATGGAGAAATCCAACCATTGCTCTTGGAAAATATATTAACATGATTGGATATTCTCAAAAGTCAATTGCTCCTTATTTTGCCATTGTCGGTGGTGACGTGAGTTATGACAATGGTTGTGCAGCTTGTTATCGAAGATGGGATGATTGGTTCCATTATTGGGCTCAATATATGACGACCACCATTCAATATGGATCGACCAATCATACCTATGCTCTTCCAATCATTACAGCTGTTGGAAATCATGAATCAGGAAATTTCTTGAGACCACGTTCAGATGACGCATTCTACATTCGATACTTTCCAATGTCAATTTCTGGAGAATCTGAACGAGTTGCAAAAGATCCTCAAATGACGAGAAAGCTTCAACATGTGCATTATCTTTCCAGTCACACCATGATCGTGGTGCTAGATAGTTGGGTTCATGACTCACCTCAAGATCAAATCGAGTACATTACAAAGGTATTTGAGAATACTCCTGCAAACAAGTATCGAAACAGAATTGTTGTGATTCACCATCCCATGTACACCTCGGCAAAATACAAATCTTTCATCGCTAAGGAAATGATTGAGAAATGGGAATCGTTGTTCCTTAAAATGAACGTGACCTCTGTATTTGAGAATCATGTACACACATACAAGCAAACGTATCCTTTGAAAGATGGAAAAATTGTTACCAAGAAGAGCTCAGACAGTTCAACGGAATCCTTTACATATACCAAGGTCCCAGAACAATACAATCAACATGGAATCATTTATGTTGGGGATGGAAGTTGGGGTGTAACTTTTTGGAATGTCCAAATGGACGTTAAAAATCCAATATTCAGACAAATTGGAGCATTTAGTCATGTGTATCATGTCAATACGAGGTTATTGAATTCTGGAACTACGGCTTTAGAGTTGTCTGCTCTTGGATATAACAACACTTGTGGAGCAATTTACCATGTGGAAGGCTCCAAACTTAGGATTCTTACTGTGTAACTGTGACACGTCCAATTTATTGGTGTAGAAGAAGCAAACTTGAAACAGCATTCCTCCAATTTAGGACAGACGCTGCATGAAAGTTTTTGAAGAACGAAATGATACGCAGTCGCTTTAGGAAGACACGTTAATACGATGGAATGATTGTTGCTGTTAAAACCTTACATAATCCATTAAAAGAAACACCAATCTATTTTCAACTAAAGCTTGGACTTTTTAATTGTTACACACCATGGGTGGTCAATAAGTTACGGAGGCGAGAGCACATTTTGAATGCGTTGGTTAAATGGTCCAAACCTGCAGAAAAACTGGAAACCTTAATTTTAGACACATACTCTTCACTGAAAAAACCAATTTCGTTATCTTCTGTAATAAAATGTCTGTGACGAGATTCTGAACTCATGTTGGAATTTTTGAGCTGAGAAGCCGAAGAAGTAGCAATGGATGTGTAACTGATACCATAAACTCCAACGTGCAGTTGTGAATTGTTAATAGAAAATTCTACAAGAGCTTCTTTCGGTAACCGTGGATGGTACGCTTGCTGAATAAGCTCAATGTTTGTCTTTTCCGAAATGGAGCTAGATAGTCTGTACTCATCCGTTAAAAATCTCAAACCGCCATACATTGTTAATTGTTCTCGTCCTTGTTGTACAAGTATCATTACGCGTTCTAAAATGGATAATATTGTTGTCACGTCCCTCTCAATTTTTGATGTTTTAGAAAAATAACTATTATTGTTCATATCCACTTCATTATCCTCATCCCCTTCCAGAACAATATTCGAACTTTCAGAATATTTCTCAATGTCAATATTCTTCATCTTATTAAGAGCATAGTCTGCCATGTGGTGGGCCCTTTGAACTTGGCTCAAAGTGTATGGGTCATTTGGTTTAATCTCAGCTTCAAAACTGTTCTTCATCTTGTGTAACTTGAAATTGATTTTTCCACCCAAAATACGATAACCCTCTACCAATAAATATCCTTTTAGAATGGAATGGTTTTGATCGGTTATATGTAGCTGAATTCTCTCAGCATTAGTACCCTTTCTACTGAAACTGGCATTAAATCGGGAGTGTGCAGCTGGTGTGATAGGAGTACGTGGCTCACCTTCGTTTGTAGATGATAAAGCATGATGTTGTTGTTGTACTTCCGATGATCCTAAAGTGTTTGGTGTGATGGGTCTGTCTGTATTTGGTGTAATGGATCGTTGATGAGGTTCATTATTCGTGTTTGGAGTGATGGATGTTGATGAGGTTCCTCCTTGTACCTGTGCATGGAGAGTATTAATCGCATCGTTCAATCCTATGGGATGAGAGGTCATCACTTCACCGCCCAAATGATTAATTGCTAATTGAATTTCCGCAATAATTTTACTCCATTGTTGTGGTACTATATTGTATAGAAGATGTTTCAACTCCTTCATCATTGTTTCCTGTTCCAGAGATTGAATCATTTCTTCTTCCGATTGATGCTGTGGGAGAGAAGGTGATATGCTGGGTGTTGAGTTTATCATTTTTATTTTGATGAAATGAGTTATTAAATTTGTAAAATGTAAATTTTAAATCGAAAAGCTTCATGTCATTAATTATTTGTGGAATGAATTTGCATATCCTCTGTTTGTTCTGTTTGTTGGATGGGCCTTTTCTGTCGATTTGGCTCTGCTCTGCATTGTAGGTGCTCTACTAGTAGAGATGGACGTCATCGAAGTATTTGATGGCTTGGTGTTTGGGCTGCTGCGTTCCTCGATCAGTTTCTTGAGGGTCTCTTTGCATTGATTATACTCTTTTTGTAAGTTATTCACATATTCTACTGCTTGATGAAGAAGACTTTCCTTTTCTTCAAGTGATGCTTGTAGTTTTCTATTGAATTCCACCGAAATATTGAGTTGAATTCGAGTATCTAGTAGTTTAGATTTTGCATCCATCGCGAGAGCAATGTCATGTAAATGTTTCAAAACTTCTTGGCTTGTATCAAGATCTGATTGTTTCAACAGTCCCATAACTTTTTCCACACCCTGATTGATCTCTGAAAGGGCTGTTCTTGTGCTGACAAGATCTTGTTGCATGTCCCTAACTACTTCGTTATGAAAGGCTATTCTTGCTGTAGCTTGCTTAATTGCATCATCTGGGTTTTGGGGGTGCCCTTGTCTCAGCTCCTCTCTTTCTGCCAAAAGGGTTTCTATTTCTTTTTTCATTTCTTCTATGACTGCCATGTGATCGTTTCGTTCTTTGGAAATTGCGTCTTGCAACTCTTTTTTAAAGATTTCTGCTCCTTCTCTAAGAGACTTTTTTGCAGATTCCAGGCTTTTTTCCAATGCGTCAATCAGCTTTTGTTGTTTTTCAATCTTGAGTCTGGTGTTATCGTTATCAATCGACTCAAAGACACGGTTTCGTAATAACTCGTTCTCTTCCTTTAAAATTGTCATTTCCTGCTCATAATTATTAATCTTTTCTTTAAGTTCATTTTCGATTTTGGCATGTTTCACTTTTTCAATTCGCTCTGTTTCTTCTTGTTCGTACTTTGTTTTCAGCTTTTCGATCAGTTCGTCTGCTTGGTTCTGGAAATGATTTGCCATCTCTCTTAATTCATCATTTTCCTTTTCTAGCCTCTCAATTTCGTTAGAATCATCATTGATTTCAGGAGGAGTATCTGTCTGTACTGCTACAACAACCTTTTCAGATAAATCTTTTTCTAGCAACTGGGCTAGCTCTTCGCTTCTCTCCAGTAATTGGTTATAATCAGTAGTAAGAGAGGAAAGCTCGTACTGGTACATTTCTGATTGAGAGTGAAAATGGTTCTTTTCTTTCTCTAGGTCTGCATACTCTTGTTTCAACTTTTCTATCTCAGACTTTTCATTATTTACATTTTTAAGACTGGTAATTTCTTGATTCAGTCTGTTAATATTGTCCTCCATAGTCCTAATTGTTTGATCCTTATTTTCTATATCCTCCTTCAATTGTTTCACTGTAGCGCTCTCTTCCATTTCTAACTTGGAAGCTTCAGCCCCGTTTTTTAGCGTCTCTTTAAGCTGTTTTTTCAAATTGGAAATTTCTAATAAGAGACTTTCAATTTGTTCTTGCTGAGATGATACAAGAACAGCATAGTCATCATCGTTTCCAGTTTTTGAATCGTTTAAATGTTTCTGAATGATAGAGACGGTTTTGTCCATGGTCATTACTGTTTTTTCAGAATTTGAAAGCAATTCATTAAGGTTAGATTGATTCTCAAGTAAATTATTGGCATTTTCTTTTTGCTTTCTTTCAAAGTCTTGAGCGTAAAGCGCTGATATTTCAGCTGTAAGATTGTGATTTTCTTCTTCTAGCTGCGATTTTTCAATGTCTAGTTCCTTCATCTTTTCTTGCTTTTCTATCAATTGTCTCTTCACTTCATTGAAAGCTTGGTTCATTTCTTCAAGTTCTAACAAGGACCTTGAATACATTTCACGCAACTCCTTGTTTTCCATATTCAACATTTCTTTTGTAGAAGATATAGAATTATTGTTTGCTTTTTCTTTTTCGAGCGACTCAACACGTGATGACGCATCTTCATACTTATGCCTCCAGCTTGCGACCTGTTCCAATAATTCTTGGTGTTGGATGTTGGCATTTTCGCATTCCTTTCGGTATTTCTCTTTCTTTTCTTCTAATCTCTTCGCTTCTTTTTCTAGGTCGGTTAGTGCCTGTTGTAGAGACTCTATTGTTGAATCCTTCATCTTCACCGCGCTTTCTTGATCACGCACGAAATTCCTGTTCGTTTAAAAAATTCATAATTAACAATTAATTTATCATCGCTATTTCATACCTTTGCTTGTTCAACTCTTCCTCCGAAACATCTAGCGCGTGGGTAATTGTAAGAACTTGATTTCTAATGTTTTCATTTTCCTCTTCCAATAGGTTGATCTGTTCCTCCAGATTTTTATTTCTTTCACTCAAGATTTTAATTTCTTTCAACGCTTCCGATTTATCTTCTGCTGGTGGTGAGGCTTCTTGCTGCTGATTTTTTCCAATTTTAATCAGCGTGTGTTTCAGTTTTTCAATCTCTTTATCCTTCTTTTCCGATAAGGCTTTAAGAGATGCAATCTTTTTTGATGATCCTAAATACTCGTAACACGAAATCATCGACCTACCTCTTTCTCAGCAAACATCACCTCTTCAATCACCACAGACAGATCCTTTTGCTTTTTAGCCAGCTTTTGCTCCAGATCTTTAATCTTTTGTGCCGATAATGAGTCTTCATTTTGATTTGCCGCTGTTGGAACGTTGGTTGTTTGAGACGAGAGCTTGCTCTTAAGGAAGCTCATTTTTTTGCCTTAATTTCTTTATTGTGGTTGGATCGTTATTGGTACTCGTCGATCATCATTACAAGAACCATACTAGTATCAATGCATGAATACAAGTTTGGAGGTATTACATGTAAGGAGAGCTTTGTGAACTTTGCAATTGTTGGTGTGGATGCATTTGATTGGTTTTATGTGCCTCTCGCACCCCAAAGCAAACGGTACAACTGATGACACCACAACATGCCAATATTGGAACCACCACAGCCACAATCGAGCATATCAGAATGACAATGGCAGCTATTACAGAGCCAACAATGACTCCAATGATCCAATCAGCGAAGGCTTGAATCACAGCTCCGCTTACACTCGAAACACTCAGTGTAAATTTGTTATTTTGTGAAGATGATCCTTTTCCGAATACTCCAATGTAATAGGTGGTGGCTATTTTCATTGGCAACAACAAATCCGTTCAATTAATAAGAATCCAAAGAACATAAGTGTAGCATGCATGATTAGATTTGGGATGATTTGAATGTTGCCAAGAGAAATGAAACGATTCAAGACAGACTTACCTAATTTCACTCCCACAGTTCGCGAATAATTGGACACTATATAGTCGTAATTCGTGAGTGAAGGTTGAGAAAGTCTTTTGAAAACAACCGTTACGTTGTCATTCATACCAATGGACACGGTCAATAGTCGATCGGAATCAACATCCATCGAATACATGTTTGAGTTTCCTCCAGATACAAAAGCAATGACTGTCTGTCCTCCTTTCGAGAGAGGTGTCACGGTGGTGGATTGAGAGATGGAACGAACCATCGAAAGGGAAAATGCATTGGAAAATCCAATCATGTGAGATAATGCCAGCATGACCACGAAAGCAACACCGCAAGAGAAGATCCGAAAAGATGACATGTCTCAGAGAGGTGATTGTTGCTTGTTTTTTTTGAAAGCGTGCACTCGAGATGAAATCGATTTGAAGGCAGTTGACATTTATCAAAATCGAGGAGCTCCACCATTTTCAGAAGGAATTTTGAATCACCAATTGGAATGAGTATGATGCAACGATCAGGTCTAATGAAATATGCTCTCTTTGATGTCGACCCAGATCAGGCACTTTTAACATTTCATCAACACTGCAAAGTTTGTGAACTGCTTTTTAATGAGGTTGATCAAAATGTGAAATCAGAATTCAAAAGGAAATCCATCATCATTGATGTGAAGGAAGGAACTTGATAGGATCCTTTAAAATGGTTTACAATTGACATGAATACATTTGTTGGGTAAATCAAATAATGATGGATCGACCTTACTCGTCTCAAAATTATAGAAATTACTCTCATCCACATAATAACCGCCAGCACTTATTGGCCCATCTGCAAAGATTAGCGAACGAAACGGAAAGCATTCATTCTTTCCCATCTTTTCACTATTCGAGATGAACCAATTGTCATGATTCTCTCCAGTATTGGGATTGGTAAGATATAAACGAGTCACATTCATTCCAAAGACATTCAAGAGCTGGACGTTCCAATCGTTGTTATTTCCTCCAAAACATTGTTCCAAACCTCCATTGTATAAGGAACGACATATGCAATCCGTTCGATTGGCTTTCCAGTAGTACGAATAAAGTACATTTTGATCAATGAATTCGATGGTTGAAGAGTCTAAGGTCATTCCATCGTTCACATAAACATCTTTTCTCAAGCGTGGTTGACTACGAGTGCTAAATTCAAAGTAAAGGATCTCTTTGGACACACTGAATGGTTTTTGATTGTACGATGCAACTCGAATTGAACTAAAAGAACCATGAGATGGAAGACAGCAATAACCGTTGTTGTTTTGTTTGGTGGTGGACATGGGTTTAGAGACGATCTGAGAAGAAGCAACACCTCTTAATATCATCGAGCTCGAAACATGCACCACAAGGTAAGATGTAAGGACAAGACAAAGCAGAGTGGTTGGCGAGATCATGGAAAGTAACATTGTGTTGTTGTGGATTTTTTTGAGTTATGAAATAAGAATACTAAGCATCTTGTTTGAGATTTTGTAACCCGAGGGGTTGAGGTGAGGATTCGGATTTCAGGAGTTGAAGAATTGTAACAGAAGGATTCGTTAGTTCATGATACCAGAATTTGGAAAGTAAGAGTTTGCAAATAAAAAATGAAACAACCATGATGTCTCAAGTTCATCACGAGGTGATCATTAATAATTTCAAATACGATGAAAATTCTAGCTCACCGAGTATTCATTGGAGAGAGCCTGTATTTGAATATCGTTATGGATTATTTCCTTTCTCAAAGGATGAACTCTTGCTTCATATCCGAAAAGAAATAACGAATATCAATCATCAAAGTACGGCAGAGAAAATTTATTATTCTGATGAAAATGTGAGAGGAATTTATATGTTTGGCTCTAGGGTTTCGAAAACAAATGTCAATGATTCTGATTTTGACATGCTACTAATAGTTGACGAGTTGCATTCAGAGATGGCTAAAGAAGGAGGCTATTCAAGTAACATGCAATACATGCTACACTCATCAATTGAATGTGAGGTGAAAAACAAAAGCAGTGGTGTCAATGTTGTGGAGAAGTTTGAAATTGAAGTGCATTTGATGAGTACATATTTCTTTGTGGAATATGTCTATTCAGAACTTCCAATATTCATGTTGAGCGCCCAACAACCAAACGCCGATTATGTTCTGTATGAATGTGCGAGAATGAAACTATGGAGACAACACTGGAATCAATGGTTTCTGAGGATTGCGAGAGCAAAAAATTCTTTCTTGCACGAATTGAAGTATTGTTTCAACAAATCATCTCGATTTTGGAACGGCTTGAAAAATGGAATTTTCACAACGGATCATGGAAGAAAGAGCGCCTTAAAAAAGGTGAAAAAGAATTTAGCTCATGGTATAAGGTTGGTATTTATCCATACAATCTTTTCAAACTCAAAATTCCTTTGTCATTTAGGTACTGCAAATTTGCATATCAAATAGTTTTTGGAGGGTGTATTTATGATTACAAAGAGACAAACAAAGTGTATGATGATATTGTTTTTAACACTGACCATTACAAAACCTGGGAAGAATACAAAATCCATGCAGAGCAGCATTACAACAAGTGGAATATAGAATTCAAGGATGATTTGAAAAATGTTGTTAAAGATGCTTTGGAGAATATGAAAAAAATTAGCCCAAAACCTGGATCATTAACTATTGTTGAATTTTTAAATCGCTACTTGGCTTGCTTTAAAGTGAATGGAACGTTTATTGACACCAACAATAACGTGATTCTTCGCCATACTTTCGATAAGAATTATTCATTTCAATATTGCCACGGTCCTTTCTCTCTAATGCGACTCTTTGCCATCAATGTAACGCCAATTGATTGGCATGACAATCCTAATAAGGCTAAACTATTCAAGCTGAACATGGACTGGAAGTACATCAACTTGGAACTCGCTTCGGTATTTTATGAAGTGTCATCCTATTTAGAGTGTAATGGAACCATTGTTGGAATTACTAACAAAGATGGAGGTCATGAACAATGCATACAAGTTGAATATTAAACAGCTCTGGAGAAGAAAATCGTGAGTTGGTTGTACCAAGGATTCGAGTTCGCAGTTCCTGTAAGCATTCCAAGACGTTATTTAGAAGAATATGAAAACCTTTCCAACCGTCATGCAAATATTGATTTCACCAAAAATCTCTGCAAATTCTCCATCTATGTGAAACCTAGGGGAATTACATGCGAATTGTTTTATTTCGAAAATCAATGGCATTTCACTCTCGATACAGAGAAAGAAGAATGGATTTATTGGGTTGCACAACCTAGAGAAAACGACGAAAAAAAGCAATTATTGGGGATGTTGAAACAACTTCCAAGCGTGGAAGACTCTCATATGACATTTTACTTCATTCTTCAAAAGAAAACAAATCGGCTTATTTTTCGAGGGTGTAGAGATTTAACAACATTGCGTGAATGTTATGACTGGAGAAAGTATGGAGAAAAATATGGATGGCAAGACCAGGTAGAACAACTGTCGATTATTGACACGACTAGCGTCTCTGATTTAACCGATCTAATTAATAACTTTTCTAGATATTCTCCATCTGATTTTGAAGGATTAGAGTTAATTAACTATTCAGAAGAGTACCAAAGCTTTTCCATTCTGTCTTCTATTCATGCCAATATACCCAACCTAAGGATATGCAACGCCAACTACATGCTCAATCTTCTTAATCCAGAAATTTTCCAAGATCCTCCTGACGAGCTTACTCAGTCCAAATATAACGAATCCAGATTATTGAAGGTCATTGTTCAAAGTTTATATGCGCAAGATATCTCTGAAGAATTTGTCATTCAAGAATTGAACCCACTGTTTCTAGTTCCCTACACAAAGATGAAGACCGCCTATCTTCAACTGTGTGAATTACTCGATCAATTTTATAGGGATAACCTCCTTTCCAAGGAAGGCGATATTGAAGCTTTCAATAGCACAGCCATCACCTTTCCTTTAAATCAGAACAAAATCACTGGTCTATTTCACAATCTCAAAAGGTTCTACAAACAAGCTAAGATTGTGTCAGCATCGAGCTATTGGAAAAATTTATTTATTTACAATGCTGAAGGAAAGGATTTTGTCTCACAGTCACGCTGTTTACTTGATCTACTATCCGCTTTCGAGAAGCTGCAAAGCAAGTGAGACATTTCCAATGTTAATAGTCAATTAATTATCTTTGTTTTAATTAAATTAAAAACGCTTTGAGTTTTTAACAAGATACATCGAGCTGTGTACGTCAAAGTGGGAACATGTCCAAGCATGAATTCAGGTAATCGTTGTAAGGAAAAACCAGTGATAATTTGTTAAACAGTAACTGGTTTTCAGATATGCTGCTAAATTGAATTGTACATATTGGTAAGAAATTTAGAAGGAAACACAGTGGTTTAACTCGAGCCAAAGTTTGCCAACGAGTTTGTTGGTTGCCTCTCGCCCTGCTGAAACCACCATGTGTAATTTGAAAAGAACTAGTTCAGAGTAAATATTTGAATTGTGCAAGATCGAGAACTGCGTAGAGAAAATTATCATCACACACCTAAAAATAAAATAAAGGGAGTTCATTTGAAAGACACCAGCAAAACAAAAAAAATGGCATCTGAATCAACTCCAAGCATCACTGCCCCTTTCTCTCCCGAAATTGAAGCAGAAAGATGGAAAGATCTCGATTACATTCTCAAACGATCAGGTCCATTTGCTCCAGAGGATTTCCAAGCAGGAGAAGAAACCAAACAATTTTTACAAGATACCTGTAAAGTTTTGATTATTGGAGCTGGTGGTCTTGGATGCGATCTCGTCAAAAACTTGGCAATGAGTGGATTCCGTTCAATTGATATCATTGATATGGACACGATCAGTACTAGCAATTTGAACAGACAATTTTTGTTCCGTGATGGTGATGTAGGAAAGATGAAGGCTGAAGTTGCTGCCAAGTTTGTGAATGAGCGTGTGGCTGGTGTAAAAGTAACACCACACATTTGTGCCATTCAAGAGAAGGACAAGGACTTTTACAGACAATTCGGAATCGTGATTGCCGGTTTGGATTCAATTCCAGCCCGTAGATGGATCAACTCAACTCTTCTCTCCTTCATTCAATACAATGATGA